TCACCCCGACTTTCCGTCGCCCTTCCGCACGCTTTCTCTCCCGGCGAGTCTCTCGCCCTTCCCAACGCACCGACCGCGCCCCGGGGTTTCCCACCCCCGGGCACCGCCGCGACCCGGGAAAGGGGAGGGGACCGGGACCCACCGCGGGCAGCCGTGCCGCCACAGACAGCCACGCGGGGCCCAGGCCCGTCTCCCCTCGGGACCCGGGAGCCGGCACCCCTCGACGGCCGGGAGCCCGCTACTACTCCCCGACCGACCCCCCCAACGCAACGTCCCCCGAAAACTCCCCCCCCGACGCCGTCCCGCCGCGCGAGCGCGGGGCACGGTACGGGAGGGGGCCACGGGAGAGTGGATGGGGGGCGACGGGGGGCGCGCGGGACCGGCCGCCGTGAGGCCGCTCCTCCGCCGACGGGACGAGCTCCCCGAAGCGGGCGCTCCGGGGCATCGGGTCTGCACTTAGGGGGACGAAGGCGTTGGGGAGAGCCACGGGCTCCCCTTCCCGAGGACGGGAAGGGGGGCGACGGACCGACACCCCGGTTGCCTGCGACACCCCAGCCGCGCCCTCCGCGGGGCGGGCGGCGGCGGCGGGCTCACCGACCGGGCCCTCCTCCGCCAGGGGAGGAGAGGCCCGCGTGGCCCGCGCCGCCACCGCATCCGCGGGGACGATTGACCTTCAAGCGACGCTCAGACAGGCGTAGCCCCGGGACGAACCCGGGGCCGCAAGTGCGTTCGAAGTGTCGATGATCAATGTGTCCTGCAATTCACATTAATTCTCGCAGCTAGCTGCGTTCTTCATCGACGCACGAGCCGAGTGATCCACCGCTAAGAGTTGTCACGAGGCTTTTTTTTCTGGGGTTTTTTTTTTCCCCCGCGCGGCCAAAGCCATGCCGGCGGGGGGGGTTCCTTGTCCGCACCGGTCGGGTCCCCCGGCCTGCTGTCCCCGAAGGGGAGCACGGGGGGCGGGTCTCCGTGGCGGGAGGGAGCAGGGGGGGGCCCCCGCGGGTCCCTCTTTCTCCCGACGCCTCGGACCGCCCGCCCGTCCGTTCCCCCGGGACGTCCTGCCCGGCCGGGGCCGCCCTCCGCGGTGCCCGCCCTTCGTACGTTACGCTCACAGAGGGAAAAGGTTTAACAAACCGAGCCCGAAGGCTCGGGTTCGGTCCAGGCGCTTGGCTCGCAGGGGCCGGGTGGCCGCGGCCGCGTGCAGGCCGACCCCCCTGCCCCGGCCGCCACCGCGCCCCGCGCCCCGGGCCCTTTCCGCCCGCCCCGCGCCGAGAAAGCGCGGGCCGGGAGTCCGGGTGGGGGCGGGGAGGGTGGGGGGGGAGAGGAGACGGGCCAGACGGGCCCCGGCCTTTCGGCCCCGACGCGGAGAGGGAGGCAGGGTGGCCCCTCTCCGTCCTGGGCTTCCCGCGGACCGGGGGGGCTGGGGAGAGCCGGCGTGGGGGTACCGAGGGGGGCATGGGCGTCCTCAGACGTCCTTCCCTCCTCGGCGGTCCCCCTTCCGCCCTCCCCGGGGCCCCCTCGTGGGCGTCCGCGGGCCGCCTCAGGCCGCGCAAGTCTTTGAACCACCGCCTTCCCCGGGCCGCGCGGCTCGGGGAGAGCGCTAGGTACCTGGCTCCTGGGTGAGGGAAACGGTTCCGAACCCCTCTGGGGCGTCCCCCCCCCGCCGAGCCGCCAACCCCACCTTCCGGCCTCTCACCCTGTGGGGGGTGGGTGGCAGGCCGGTCGGAGCGACAGACGGACGGACGGCACGCGGAGTGGTGCCCGGCACCCGCCAGCCGGCTCCGCGTGACCTCGGGGGGGCATCGTCCCAGAAGGCGCGCCGGGAAAAGCCGCTGCCACGGCCTCGCCCCCGCTTCCCAGGGATCCGGGGTTTCCCTCTGTTCCCGGCATGCCTGGGAGGGCAGACGTGACTGGGGCCACCGCCGTCTTTCCGCGTCCACCCCGCGTGCGCCCTCCCGGCCGCACGCCCCGACGACGGCGAGCTCCCCGTCCGGGGACGGTCGCCCACGGCCCGGTAACCCCCCCCCGCCCGCCCCACACCCTGTCCTTTTACCCGCGCCGCCGAAGCGGCGCGGAGGACGGAGGGAGGGGGGGGAGAGGGCCCAGCGACCGGGGGCGGACCGCACGGGCGGGCAGCGTCTCCGAAGAGGGCGGGCGGCTCGGGTACGCGCACGGAGGGGATGGTCGCGGCGACGGTGGCCCGGCAGCGGACCCGGCGCGGATGGAGGAGACCCCCTCCGCCGACCCCGGCCGGCCCCTCCCTCCCAGCCGCCTGGGAGGGGTGGGGCACGCAGAGCGCGGGGCTAGCGCGGAGGGGGCGCCCGGCACCCTCCCCGCGCCCGGGGCCCCGCCGCCGGGGTCCCATCCTGCACGCGGGGAGGCGTCCGAGGCCTCGGGGGGCCCTGGGAGCTGCGACGCCGTCGGGGGACCCCGAGCCGGCCGACCGCAGCCCTCTGGCTCTCGGTAATGATCCTTCCGCAGGTTCACCTACGGAAACCTT